TACCGGTACCAGGCGGCTGCTGCCAATGCTGAGCCATAGGAACCCGGTGGATAAAGAGTTGTGGAACATCAATCTGCCCCCGAGTGTACAAAAGTGACGTGGCCGCGCGTGACTCAAACTGTCTGGCCTCAGGCACGGAGGCCCCAGGGCTAACAATCAAACCCGTCGGAAAAAATCAACGGGAACTTTCTCCGTGATCATAACCGTTTTCCATTATAACCTCTGTAACATTTTTACATGTATCTATATAAATTTAGTTACCTAGCAAGACTTCTTGAAAATGAGCATAAACACAGCTCGTTTAACCGTGCCTGACTATCGGTGAATACACTGGGGATCAGTCAGTCTTTTTTACCCCATCAAACAGTCACAGCGACGGCCTGCAGGTGTGCAGTAAATGGCGGACTTTCCGTATTACACCGTCACACGGCAGCCGGTGGCGATGACACAGCCGGTGCCGTTACTGTGACGTCACAGTGGTGACACAGCGGTGATACAGCGGTGACACAGCGGTGACACAGCGGTGACATCGGAGGGGTTATGATGACACAGTGACGGCTATATAACAGCTCTCGCTACGCTAGTCACTTGTCCTGAATGATGTGGATCGTAAAGCGAGGGCCCAGCAGCAACTGACCCTCACCCAATGTAGTCATGTGTACGTCCGAAGCAAACCTTTGAGACTCAGTGACGTGCTTATTTTGTCTCGATTGAAAAAAGTGTTTTTGTCACTATCAATTTTATTAGGCAATCAGAATACCGCTACCAAGCTAACTTTGCGCTGCCGTCCCAATGCCTGACAGATTTGTACGATTGCCAATATTTTTTTACGCATAGTTGCATCTACATAGACCCCAGCAAAGCTCTTCAGCCTGACTGCGGCAGAATTTGCAGGCCACACTTAAACGCATACAAAAATGGTAATAACAATTTTATTGATACGTAGCTGAGGACAATGCATCGCACTATAACAATGCACCCTGTTGCTACGGTTTCTTCCATTTTACACTGTTAAAGCAGTATAAAACAAACAGTAGGGGAAGTTGGGGCAATGCCGGAGTTGGGGCAAAGCCGAAATTCGAGATATTTCGAAAACCGTACGACATGGATGCCACCTGTCAGTGATGCTCTGAAGCTTAAGTGACTACAATTATCGCATGTTTGTTACGAGTCGTCATTCGGAATACTTCGGCTGTGAGGGCGCCAAGAGCGTTTTCAAGGTACGCGTTCCTTGTACTACATGCGCCTTTGGAGCTGCATTTCTTACTCATTATGCTACCGTTTGTCTGGCCAATTCGGTCAAGTAATCTTCAGCTTGTCTTTGCATAAGTGTGCTGCCTATTTGAAATTTATACGGCACGTTGAAAAGTTATGGGCCTGCAAATGAAAGTATGGCTGGCTGGGGTAATGCCGAAAGCGTGCAATTACGCCCGTTAAAGCACGCTACGTGGACTTTACTGCTGTAGAATAGCAACGCGAATTTTTAGTCACACAAATTACGCTTTCAACCGACACAACGGCCTGTTACCTATAAGGAATTATTTACCTGACATTTCCTTATTATATCACACAATTATAACTTCCAGTTTATTGTTTATTTGTTTATTTATTGGCATAGCGTCCACAGGCAAAGCCCCACTTACGGATGCAGTCGCACACTGACAATAACAACCACTCACACACACTGGATGGAAATAAATATGAATGATAACACTGATCAAAATCCAAATAAATTAACAAGATGGCAAGAGCCTAAAAGTAAACCGACAGGCAACAGCCTAAGAATATAGAAGACATGAGCAAAAGCCTAAGAGAATATACAAGTATAGGCACCTGGCTAATGAGCGAGGCTAAAAGTATAGTGACATGAGAAATCCCCTAAAAGTTAACAGCACAGGCAATAGCCTGAAATCCTAAAAGAGTGTAGGTATAAGCAAGAATGACAGCGGATGAAATAAAAAGACAAAAAAGACGAAAAATGAGCGTAGACAATGACAATGAGAATAAAACCGGTAACGGCTAGTTGCTACATGAGGAGCTACATCAGTGACCTTAGGCTAAGTATGTTCCCTGGTCGTCAGCAAATTTGGCTATCTCCGACCTTAGCCTGCAGCTAGGCATAAAGAAATCGGCGTCGGGGCTGCTGTGGACAAGCGAGTTCACGTGCTGGGGAAGACGAATCAGAAATCCTCGCTTCACAGTGTCCACTCTCCCGCGCGGCACATGAAAGAGCTCGGGACGGCGCGTGCGACGGCCGGGTGCCGATAGAGAAAACATGGCCAAGATGTCGGGACAGTCCAAGCGACCACTGAACACGGAGCGCATGTAGTTGATGTCACACTGTGTGAATCGTGACCTCACTGATTCGCAGCCGAACAGTTTAAGCAGCGATGCATAGTCGAGTGAAGGGCACCTCGCCTGTGTCCGGGCGCCCAGCCACATGAGAAAACGGTGCTGTAGTCGCTCTAATCGGCGCAGGTGGGTGACAGCGGCACCCGACCAGATAACACAGCCGTATTCCATTACGGAACGCACGTGCGCCTTGTAGGCGGTGAGGGCTGCGACACAGTCGAACTGCGCTCGATGCACCCGTGTCGAGACCTGCATACTCCTCATCAGCAAGCCCAGCATGCGGTTCGACTTCGAGACTATAGCATCAACATGGTCTGCGAAGTTAAGCTTGCTATCTAAGATGATGCCAAGGTCACGCACGTTAACACACCTCTCGAGCTGGTGACCGTCGAGCGCGTATGAAGCGACATGAGGTGATGAGCGCAGAGTGAAGATGATGGTCTTGCACTTGGCCGGGTTGAGCTTCAGGTGCCAGGTCCTTGACCACCGGCTGAGACGGTCCAAGTCAGCCTGAAGGGCGTGGGCATCCTCAGGAGAGGACACACGGTGAAAAATTTTGACGTCGTCAGCGTATGACAAGCAAGATGACAAGATGACAAGATGACAGTGTGCACCAAGCGTCCTCAAGCTCTTAAAACGCGTGTCAGCTTTGATAAATTCTGGATAAAGTTTGAGATAAAGTGGCAAAACATCAATGTCGGCATTCCCCGTAGATCATTTCTCCCATTTTCGGCTTTCCCCGCAGTCCGGGGCAACGCCGAAAAAGTCGCTTCTTTGATATTTTTAGTTTGTGCGCTTAACGGTATGCGAATTCATCAAATGCGCCTGGTATGTTTGAAAGGCAAAAGACTGGCCTCTCGAATGAAGCCAACAAGAATAGCTTATGTTGTCTACCTTGCGTGCTACGGGCGTCAGAAAAAAATATTCGGCGTTCCCCAACTTCCCCTATGCTTATCGCTTGATGTCAGTGTTTCACAGTGGTACTCTTATGTAGTTCGTGCATAAGGATAAACGCTTTTAAAACGTACTTATCATTCGAAGTCTATGTTTTTTACACTGCCTATCTTTACACGGAAAAGTGGTGAATTTTCCAACAACATGCATCACTCTGCCGTAAGAAGGATAAGACAAAGATTGATAACGGTGTAAACACATGCAATTACACTTTGGAAATATGCCGTGATATTTATATGACAGAAGACCAAATACAATCCTGAAGGTCAACAAACGGGATGACAGATAAAAATACCTCAAGCTTAAATTTGCGTCAGTCGTCACATGAGGAATTACATATGTTATTAAGGAGAGACCTGCTAAACAAGGATAAATACTAATATTATTGATCAGAGAATTCCTTGATCTAACGACAATATCTTGAACAGAAAAATATGTCTTAAACATAGCCAACTGATGTAACAAACATAGAAATTGGTGTAATGTTTTGTAATTTAACCCGCGCCCCACTGGGGTCTGCGTATAACACGCCCTACTGGGGGGGGGGGGGGGCTATTCATAGCCCCCCTCCTAACTCCGAAACTACTGGGCCGATCGTCAAAATTCAAACGATGTCTGATAGCCCCGGAAAAACTGTCGAGCGAAACCTAATTTCATTGACCTCGAGGTCACTGATGACGTTACAGTTCAGGTCAAAGTAAAAAATATTAGCATTTTGGCTTGTTCACGTTTTGGGCTCTGGCCGCCGTCTTACAAGTCAGATCAGGCTCATTTTTGGATCACACACTCGTGAACAGATGCTCTAGATAACCTGAGGGTACCAAACTTGTACTTTGATTTTCAGGACAAGGTCAGGTCATCACAGGTCACGAAAATATTATATCATGCGTCGGTCACGTGACACATGTTTTATGGTCCATTTAGGTCCGAGATTTCGAATTTGATGTCGTCTGTGTAATTCGAGGTCATTTTGAGTCGAATTTAGCTTAGGTCAGGTCACTTTCAGGTCAAAAAAGGTCAAATTTTGAAGTTGGAGTTTCTCAACAAAAAAGTGTCTATTGGATGCAGTTTGAGCTCAGGAACACGATGGTGCTATTTATATTGGCGTACGATGTCAAATACGTGCTGAAAAATTGATTTGAAAAATTAATAATTGTAAATTTTTGCAATAATGCGTAAAACTTGGCCATTTTTGAAGATATTTAGCTAAAACTTGCTAGAGTTAGTCATAATAATGCGTTCAATCACATATATTCTTTTTTTTTCGAAAATTCAAAAACTTTTTGAAAAAAAATATAAAGATATAAATTTTGGATTTTATTATATAAAATTTTCCAAATTTTCAAAATTTCGAAAATCCGAGATGGCAGTTTGATAGCGCAGTCTATTCTGAGTCCTCTCATGCACAGAAATTGGATCTAGCTTAAAAACTGAGCTCTTGGGAGCGATTGCCGTGGTTCAATGTTTTGCGTCGAAATCGGCCGAACATGACGTCACTCTGACGTCATTTCCAGCCGACCTAGATTAGTTACGAAGTTCAAATTTTGACACAAGGTGTCAAATTGATGCAGCCTAAGGTACTGAAAGTTTGGCGTCGATACGTCAAGCAGTTTGGAAGTTATTGCAGAAAAACGGGAGGGGGGCTATGAATATCCCTCCCCCCAGTGGGGCGCGGGTTAAACATGATGCAACGAAAGGGCATCCTCGCACGACGCAACAACATATCTCCATAAAATAGTGGTTTGTTCCCTGCAGCCATGCTGAAGGCCCGTCATCAGGGATCAGTCAGCGTGCTGGTTGGCCTGCCTCAGCAGCTTCAGCATGATCAGCAACATTCAAAAGTTATCTCCTCGTAGCTCGTGATATACCTATAGGACCCAGTGACCCTCAGGGTCCAGTGATATAGTTATAAGGGTCCAATTAACCTCAGGGTCTGCCGTTTGGGATCTTCAGTACCTCCAGTTACCCTCAGGTTTCAGTGATATAGGGTTCAGTGAACCTCAGGGTTCGGTTCTCAGGGCCCAGTAACTCTCATGGTCTAGTGAGGGTGTTGGCCGGCCCCAGCAGCTCCGGCACATCCACCCGCTCCCCTGAGTCCCCACCCCTGCCCGCTCGGTTGGTTAGGATGAACGTGTCCTGTCCGATGGGTATGGGCGCGTCGCTCTGCGGCCGCAGCCTCATCTGGGTGCGCCGCAGTGAGTACTGGTACCCGGTCCACGTGTACCAGTTGACGCCGTCGGCGAAGCTGCGGTGTGCGCCGCCCAGGTACCAGCCGTTCAGATTGGAGTCGTGACAGTTGCCGTACCACCAGGCGCCCTTGTAGAGGCGCGCGCAGCTGCGCTCGCTGTAGTTACCGCGCCGGCTGTCGTTGTCCACGTCGAAGGTGGAGAACGGCAGGCCGTTGTGGCTGAAGAGCGAGTCGCCGGCGTTGCCGTAGTAGAGGTTTTGGTGGTACAGGCGGTAGGCGTCCCGCTCGGGACCCAGCCGGAAACCGCGGTACCTGACGACGGTAAAAGCATTCAGCAGGGCAGGATTATGTTAATGGGTAAAGTGAAATTAATTGTGGTTTGAATGAGCTAATATGTACGACAGGTTTGCAAAGTATTCGGCCTAGGTATACCATCGGTAAGAGCACATGCATTATGTTTTGGCATGTAGTTCTATGTATGTATGTGTAGGTATTATGTTCTGTGTATCACCCGTTTTAATCTCCCGATTATTAGTGCGGCCTTGATTAGTGCACTGCTCAGTGCTCACTGCTCACCAAGACCACAAGACGTCCGACGCGTTAAGCTCTGTCCATCAACGATATCGGGCCATGCGTAATACCAACTGCGGGCTGAATCACCTCCAAACACCTGACTGACTCACACACACAGTGCAATTCCGAAAATGCAGCCAAGGAAGGACATACTTATACTAACTACTGCATCGCCCAAACAAGTGGCCACTTTCTGCGTCGCAGCTCCGCAAAGTTTGCAAGCCTGCCAGCGATAAATAAAGTTCGCATGGAAATAATAGGGACGCGTAATTTGCTTAGCCCGTGGTCAAGTGACTCATATTTGCGCAGTGCCACTGTGCAAACATAATTGATAAATGTGCGCAGTTGTGAATGCTGTTATCATTCCATAATTGTTTTGAAATCAAACAAAAATGATTGATTTAACGAAGCCTAATATTGCATCACAATCGTATTCAGGTGAAAGCAGAACGCTTGCGTGATTTTGTTTGAACAAGATATTTGCTAAAAGGAAATCGGCATAATCGTAAGTCGTAGGTACCTAATCGCAAAACCATGTAATACGCCTACCATGCTTATAAAAAAAAAATGTTGTGGGGTAGCGCAGAGTGTCTATATTCTATAGGGAAAGCGGCACATAATGTCTTTATAAAAAATATCTCAAGCTTCAAACGAAGGAAGTCAATTTACCAAGGTTCTGTGATGCTAGGTTTTGATCAAAACATCTGGAAACATGACACTCAAATATTGTGTCATGTCTGTGCCGTGTATGGTGCATTGCATTTTATTTCCAGGCTATCCTTGCGAAACGTTAATCCCCAATCTAACGTTGCGAAGCGTCTGCCCCGACCTGACCTGGCGAAACGTTAGTCCCCGACCTGACCTGGCAAAGCGTTTGACGCGACCTGACCTGGCGAAGCGTTTGTTTCCGGACCAGTCCTCCAGGTCGATGGCCAGTTCGAACTGCGTGCTGTTGTCAACGTTTGTCAGCGCCCAAATCAGAATGTTCCCTGACAGCAGACGGTGAAATAGGACCGTTTAACTTCATACAGGCGACGCATTATGCATTTATACACTGACCGCATCTCATATAAATGCAAACCTACATGGAAGGTTGAAAGATTACCTATTCAAACTTAGGAGGCGAGTATTTAAACTTACCGAGCCAGAACTCCCTGTCGAAGTCACCGAAGCCGACCTTGTAGTCCTCCCAGTTCCTGAAAAAGTTCTCATGGGGCTCCACGTCGTCCCTCACTTGAAAAACCTGCACGAAAATACACACATCCATACTTACACAAAATATGTCCAGCTTTGCGGACAAACATAACTCCGGTGGTCTGACGAAGCCATGTACTAAATATATGTGTTGAGAGGGGTGATTCGTATAACTTGCCACGTCCAATGCGTGGCGATTTCAGAAACAGCCGTTTTAGTTCAAACAGCCTGGTACATGACGTCTCTATCTCGGTCCAACCGGTCCCCGTCTGTCCCAGTACCGTCCCCCTGTCCCAATACTGTCCCTCTGGACTAGTACCGTTCTTCTGTCCCAGTACCGTCCCCTGTCCCAATACTGTCCCTCTGGTCCCTCCGACCCAAATCATCCCCTGAACCAGTTACCTACTTTCCCACTGTTTCAGCCTTATCCCTTTACCACAGTACTGTCCCTGAGTCCCAGTACCATCCCTTTACCACAGCACTGTCCCTGAGTCCCAGTACGAACTACGAACCGTCCATCCACCTCCCTCCGTCTCGAGATCACAGTAGACCTTCCACGGCCCCTGGGCCAGGTTGGCCGGGTGCACCAGGTACACCCCTGACCGGTCAGCACCCTGAGTCAGCTGGATGTCGTGGCAGCTGGTGCCCACGTGGAACTGACGCGTGAAATCCTAGAAAAAGACATATTTAGTGAAAGATCAGACAGTATTTGTATTGCAGCATTTTGTCAGTGAGCGTTTACTGAATGGCCTAGAAGGACAACATCGGCAGGAGATCATGTGGCAAAGTATATATGGAGGTAGCTGCCTTACCAAAATCCTTCTGGTCTGTGACCTAGAACCAATGGCCTCTATAAGACCTCGACTCACCGGCTCCTTAGCCCCAAGTGATTGCGTGAACTTCCCGATCCATGGGACATCTCTGTCTGACTCAAACACTCCCAATCCATGTCTTGGAAAATGTTTCTCTCTTCTATGAACACATTGACCCACCTGACTGGTCTCCCTGACCTGATGATCTAGGACTGACCTTGACCTTTCTGGTCCGTGACCCTGAACTGGCGACCTCTGCCGAGGGGTCCAGTTGTGAGACGATTTGCCGCACTGTGCGCCGGACCATGTTCTGGATGTCCTGCATCTCAGCCGGGCCCGGGGCTGCCACGGACAGGGGGCTGCTGCCAGATGTGCCCTGGGGAACACATGTGGGGTCACATCACAACCCCGCGGCAATGCGCAAAGTGGTGCAGAGGTGTAGGCTTTATGTGGCGGGCCTATGAACCGACACGATTTGTGGTGCTAGCAGACGTGCTAGTTGGTAAGTACAGCCCTAATTATGATCAATATTTTCTCTTCAGTTAGAAAGATAAAAAGGTGCCCTGTTACACCTAGCAAACCTGTAGACGTTCTATCGCGTGTAACACACTGGCCATTCATTTTCAGATTCTGCATCAAACCTAACACTTCTACATCAAATACAGCGCTCGACAAACTGTGAACCGTTCTGGATATTTACAAACCTTAGCCAGGTATCGCGAATAATTGCAGCTTCACACGAGGTCTTACAGAGGGCTCAGACTACTTCCGGCAATGCAATCAGTCGCTTTTCTATTAAATCAGCCAGGCAAATGATGTACCGCGTTTGAATGTAGCAGTATTGCAAAGCCAGCTAAATTTCAGTGTGACTGCGAAATGTTTGCCAAGGCTGCCGCTTCCGGAGCTCACATATCACGCCAGGAAAATCCCCTTACGCCTTACGGGCACCAACAGCAGCATCAATTGTTTGAGCCAGCTTGGAGAGATCTCGTCACACCTTATGAATTTGCGAGGGGTTCAAAGGGTACGCACCAGACTTGCGTCAACAGTGAATAGGGCGCCTAATTAGACAATTGTTATACACAGTAAAGGTCACAGAGTGTCTTCTTTTTAAATGCAGACATGCATTGACAACTCATCTTTCACATGCACGGTGACTATTTCACATGCTATGGCCCAAGACATTTATTTACGAGCTATAAAGTTGATAGCCTCACGACAGGGAAGGTATGCTGCGCCGCTTTCTTGTATGCATTGCGGCACAGTCTATATGTGTAGCGTTTCTCCACGCAGTGTGTACTGTGTATAACACCAGCTCAGGGCAGTTTCCAGCGTGAATGGGACACATCACCGTCCACATACTGTCAACAGTGACCCGACCCAGCCGAACCCCTGACCCACAGCACCCCGTATCTCACCTCAGACGTATGCTGCCCGGCCGACCACCGACACAGCAGGCAAGCCAGCAGAGTAGCGAGCTCCCACCGCGCACACATTGCCCCAGCGTGGTGTCCGGGGCCGCTGCTGGGCCAGACTGAGCCAGACCGGAGCAGACTGAGACCCGGACGGGTTAGTGGGCCAGTCGGCGGGTCAGAGGTGGTGACCCGACCTGACCCCTGCACCCGTTCGGTGTCAGGAGCGACGGCCGGCGGCATCCTACCCGGGGTGGTCAGGCTGCTAATCAGACGGGCTTCCTGCTCTGACTGCCAAGCGATTTATTTGATTTGGACAGTAAAAGGAATAATTATGTAATTTTATGATGCTGAGCTGAGCTGAACTGCAGCTCTACTGTTACTTTAATTTTGAAGGGCTATCCATCATCGTCATGTTTTTCATAAACGTTACAAAAATCTTGTAGCTCACCCTATCGATCGGTAGCTGCATTCCTCTCGAATGCTGAATCCCAAGTCCCGGCTCTATCGAGACCCGCGGATAGGTCACAGGTCTGACCGTCTGCCGTCCTCAGCGGATCACGGACGGTCTGACGGTCTGCCGCGGCACAGGTCTGACGGTTGACCACCCCGTCCGCGCGGGGCAGGGCAGCTGGGTCTGTCCGCCGCCCGTCCGTCACCTTTCCCACGCGTCGTGCAGCCGTCTGACGGACATCCGGCCGGGTGGGTGCCGCCGGCCCGAGCCCGTGCCGCGGGTGAGAGGTGCCTGATTGGACTGTGCTGGCCTGAGGATAATGAAACTCAACCGAACCATGACCAATGGGGATGAAGGGTTATTGTTTCAGGCTGGTTTGGCGAGGGACTGAGTGAGACTCGTTGGCTGATTTTGCCGGCGGTGTGAAATAATACGGGCGCTGCGCTGATTTACAACCTGGATCGTTGCCAGCGATAACGCCGGGTGATGCACTGCTCTCGTTGCGACAGTGCCAGTCGGGCAACTATTCAGCACGGCCCGTATGTCATCGGACGCACAAGTACGGCACAAACAGCGACCCTGAGACGCCAGAGGCTCGGCGTTTCTTTCGTCTCCGCCGCCAAGCCGCCACTCCCCAGTGATGAGATTCACATCACCTTGGAGCTAACCACAGCCCTGTATCAATAGTTGGCACAATTATACCTCAGCGGCCACGCAAAAACACCCCGCACGGTAGATAAACCGCCTCGCAAATGACTCCTTCCATGCGGGGTTGCCTGCTGCGTAATTTCGGTGTGCCTCCGTTTTGCAGACATCGTCGATAAATAAAGCCCAAGAGCCGTTAATTAAAGAAGCACGGAGTATTGTGGGACCGACACCGTAAAAACAGCTCCCCGTATCGGAGAGCGAGCCTCCCAGCCCGCTCAGCCGAAGGTCAAAACCTGACGCAACGCCGGGCGGCCGGACCTTGAAGAGCTGTTTTTGTCAACTGAGAAGTGTATCGGGACGTGGCGTTACTGCGTACCTGCAGATGAGAAATGGTGGCATAATTTGCGACCCTGTCCGGGCCGCGGGCGCTGCCATACTGCTCCCGGAGACGCGTGATTGGACTCGGGGAGGGCAGCGAGGGCTGCGCCACTCCGGCGCGGCGCCTGCGGTGAGCCGCTTATGTAGACTAACGTGGTAGGGTAGGACCAGGCAGGTAGCGATGAGTACATACCTACATACCCAGTACCCACAGTAGCTATTCAATCAAAGCGGGTTTGAGTAATAGTTCTCCATCTTACAAGCTTTCTAAGAGACACATTTAGCTTTTAGCTCTCTCTAATCTGGCTAAAAACGCTCAAGCGCCAAAATACGCGTCATTTTTAGGGCGCGAGCCATAAAACCGCACGGGATGTCAACCCCACTTTCGTCTATTAATCAGCCGTCTGAATGAGATGCAATTTTCTTTGATCAGTGAGCCATTACGGCGTTAAATTATCGGTGCGCGCGGGGCGGCAGCGGCGCTCGCAGGCGGGGCTGGGTCGGACGCAGTTGGCTGGCTTTGTGCGCCGTGCCGTATTAATCAGTGGTCCTTTTTACACTGGTGGCAGACGTGCCGCCGGCTATGGGGAGTGGGATCAGACCCGCGGGCGGCGGCGGTGACACGTGCCGGTCGGCAGCGTCCCCATAGCCGCCGTCCACGGCCGCCGTGTCCGGTCCCAGGGGACAAGGCGGCGCGTGATTCATCCTCCCCTGTCCTCAGGCCGGGGAGATGTGGCCAGAGGGGCACGCAGGAAGTGGCCAAACTCCTCCCCTCGGTGCACTGACCCAGATTCCGCCGCCGGCAGTGCCTCCCGCGGGGGCGCGCGCCGGCCTCTGGGGGCGCGTTCAGGCGTGTATCCTGCTCTTGGAGGTCGGCCTGGCCTGCCACAGATAACTCAATGACGATTAATGAGCGGCGCCGAGCAGCGAATATGGAGAATGACGCCGAATGGACGCTGATAATAACGGCATTGCTTTTGTGAGGATTACGGCCAGTTATCGTCTGCCAAAGCTGCGGCCTCGCCAGATAACAAGCTCGCTGATACTCTTTGTTCCGCGATCTCTGTGCGGAATAAGCGTCAACAGTATTACGGGATTTACGCAACAAGGACATTCGATTAGAGGTCCCCAAATGTGCTAAACGGTTCCGGGTCTCTGAAATCCCGCAATCTGAGTCCCGCCGGAACGCACAGCTCCCGGCGCGTTTAGGAATTATTGTCAACGTTAATAACGAATGGGCCACTTTGGAGGCTGCCGCTGTCAGCGGTAGCTGCCTTTGCCATCTACACGGTGACGAATGAGCTTTTGCCACGCACAAAGGGATAATAACTTTTCTGCAGTTTTATTGCCGGCCAGCTCAGAAAAGCTAGCGTAAGTTGATTGGAATAAAAGGAGTATATAGCCATAGCGAGCAGTATGTTGTTAATTCATAATTGCACTTATTCTCTGGTTAGGTAGCAGAGCCCCTGCTGCGGGAAGAGGAATATAAGCTATCGTTATCACTTATCGCACATTGTGGTGTTGTTGTTGCCCATTTTAAACCATGTAGGTATGGAATGGAACGGAAACGGATCGCAAATAGAAAGTTAGGTACCTTAGCCATACCTACTATGTGCAAGTGGACTGTTTAGTACGAACACGCACATATATTACGATACCGCACCTTTGTATATTTCTACTAACCTGTCGATCACCGTTTGTTCGCTCAATCGAACCGAGTTAGAGGCGAAGTGTATTTGCCGACTGCACCGATGTGTAACAATTCGACCAACCTGTTCTGGCGCGTTACAGATATGTTCAGGTCACATTTATGTCAGCTCGTGTCGTGACCTTAGAGGTGGTCAGTTCAGTGGGCCAGTCTTCCCTGCTCAGACGGCTCAACCGTTCCTCGGCTGGCCTGCTCAACAGGACAGGGCGAGTCACGAGAGGTATGGGATCCGCTCTACAGTCCACTACCACTAACATTGGCCCAGTACCTAAGCTCGGCAGACGGCGGGACAGAATGAAATGACCCACCGAACATCTTATTGCATACAATGGCTATGCCCCCTAGCCTCTGGAGTGTGAAGCCAAAATTACAATGAACAAAAGGATTCCTCGTTTTCTGGTTGTGGTGGGTAGGGAATGTGTACTTGCCTATACGCCGGTAGGTATCTGGTGGAACAGATGCACGACCTCTAAGGATCGATACGGTACCTACCTCCAGCCCATGCTCCAGCCCTTGAAAGCTGAGCCTGAGAAGTGAGAAAGTCCCGTTAGGCCTTCAACCATATTGATATCAAGGGTCGTAGTATGAGACTGAATGACCTGACCACAGCGAAATACTCCTTATTTTTCATTGAGTAAACCAGTCTGATTAGTCGCAAACATCAACATCGCACTTTATTATTGGCTATAAAAAAAACACCAAAGACCCACTGGCTACAGAGCCATCTACTGTCAAATCTGCTAGCGCCACCTAACTGGTCTTTTATATTTGCACTTGACAGCTGTTCACTAGGTGGCAGCACCTACCATTTATCTTTTATCATGAAAGAAATCAGCGCGGGAATCATGTAACGGAAGTTGGCACAGATTCAGCACAGATTCAGCACAGCACAGATTCGGTAGGGGGAAAAAGGCCCCGGTAGAGGGAAACCTTTATGACCCGTTTTCCCCTAGAAATGACGTCACAAAGAGGTAAAAATGGGTATCAATCGAAAGCTCTCGTTTACCCAGACACAGTCCTGCAAGAAAATTTCACTTTTTCCCCATAGGAAAGTTTTTACGGGAAAATCAAAATTTTGGGTCAATGGGGGGTCCCCCCCGATTTCGTTCAAAATCGGCACACAGGTGCCCCAACACCAGCCGAGAAACTTTCCCCAAAACGGTCCCCGTTGCATTGACGTTTAAGGCCCGTAAAGCCCCCTAGACTCGTAAAATATCCGTAAAATCGCCTTTGTACGGACAAAAAAGTGGTGCTATGGTATAAATGGGTATCAATCGAAAGCTCTCGTTTACCCAGACACAGTCCTGCAGGAAAATTCCACTTTTTCCCCATAGGAAAGTTTTTACGGGAAAATCAAAATTTTGGGTCAATGGGGGGTCCCCCCCGATTTCGTTCAAAATCGGCACACAGGTGCCCCACCACCAGCCGAGAAACTTTCCCCAAAACGGTCCCCGTTGCATTGACGTTTAAGGCCCGTAAAGCCCCCTAGACTCGTAAAATATCCGTAAAATCGCTTTTGTACGGACAAAAAAGTGGTGCTATGGTAAAAATGGGTATCAATCGAAAGCTCTCGTTTACCCAGACACAGTCCTGCAGGAAAATTCCACTCTTTCCCCATAGGAAAGTTTTTACGGGAAAATCAAAATTTTGGGTCAATGGGGGGTCCCCCCCGATTTCGTTCAAAATCGGCACACAGGTGCCCCACCACCAGCCGAGAAACTTTCCCCAAAACGGTCACCGTTGCATTGACGTTTAAGGCCCGTAAAGCCCCCTAGACTCGTAAAATATCCGTAAAATCGCCTTTGTACGGACAAAAAAGTGGTGCTATGGTAAAAATGGGTATCAATCGAAAGCTCTCGTTTACCCAGACACAGTCCTGCAGGAAAATTCCACTTTTTCCCCATAGGAAAGTTTGTACGGGAAAATCAAAATTTTGGGTCAATGGGGGGTCCCCCCC